CCCCCCCCCCCCCCCCTTTTTTATTAGACTTTCGCATTGAACTTATAAGTTAATTGGGCACCCTGTCCTTACAAGCCAGTTTTAAGGGTTCTGTCCAATGTGATTGTAATAATGGTACGAATGTATGAGAGCACAACAAATTCTCCAGAAGCTAGTATGGGAGTATGTTCTCTCCTCCAGAAGTGACTCAGGAAAAGTTGATCTCAAGTCTCGCCACCACTCATTTATGGAAGCCATTTAAATCATGGGAGGTGTTGAAGATAAATTTTAATTAAATAAATAAATTTGTCTCGTCTCTAAATGCTTAATATTTCAGATGATGTGGTTGAATGACATAGAACACAAGTAGAAGTATGATTGCATGTATATGATCTGTTTCATCATTTAACTCCATCTTGCTACTGTTCAGTTTTCTCTTCTGATCATTTCTTTCTTTCATAATTTGAACTGTAGCAATCCATTTAAATGGATCACATGTTAGGACGATAGGTGGAAAATAACTTGTTTATTTCTCTTAATTCGACCTTCTTTTTTTGTGTGTGTTCTCTCTTGAGGCCTTTCCTCTTTTCCATGTCACTCACTCTCTCTAGCCTTTATATTTGAATATATAATCTAAAACAATGAAGAATTTCTATTATTAACGAGGTGTTCAAGTTGCATAGGGATCTTTATCTTATTTCTTCTGCTACATTACATCACAGTTCTAGTTTAGTTTTAGTTAAGTAGTTGCACATTTGCTTTGGATTCATATCTAAGTAGCTCTGAACTGAAACCTGTTAATGTTTACTGTGGGTGTGGAGGCCCTTGGATCAGTAGATAGGATGAACTGATGACTCTACATTATAGTGAATTTCTTTTAACAGATCAGTTATATAGAAGAGATATAAATATCTTCTTATACGTACAAGACCCCAAAAAGAAGACTTCCAGAAGTCCCGCTTTACTCAGTAATGCATTTATATAGACATTATAAAGAATTATTCCCTGAATTAAACATCCACAAACCACAAGCATTTAATAGATGACAAAGAATGTTTTAGATGTGTATATTTCTTTTTATTTACACCATAATATTTCAGTCTAATAGCCTTTGCATGATGCAATGCAATTGCACTTGATGCTGTCAATATATATTATCATACCAATGTTATTATAAAAACTGTTACTTCTGAAAGCATTGAGCTGAGTTGCTATGGTGGTTCAGTTATTACTCTGTGTTTTTGAAGTCGGTAGGATCCATTTATATTTTTATTTTCAATGAAATTTTTGTTGATGGAAATGGAAGTTTCCTGTGTTTGAAATCGCTTTTCTGCAGAGTAGTTACAGTGACCTTCAAAACATGATAATGTTCTTGGTGAATGATAACATTGTCCTGTTTGATCTAAATGATCATATAAGCATTAATGTGTGTTTTCAGACTCTTCTATGGTCCTAAATCAAAAGACTGGTACTAACCTCAAGTTGTGGGGTTGGTAATATCTGCTCTCAATCATTTGAATTTTTCTATGCAAACAATGGGATTTCTGCTGGATCTATCCCATTTTGGGGGTTAACCAAAGAGGTTCATTACCTGAGTTTTAAACTGAAATTTGGATTCAATTTGGATTTATAATCCGTTTTATTAATTTCATTTGATAGCAATTCAATGACAGCACACCTGTATATATTTCTGAATTTACAGTTATGATTTTATAAATGCAGCACACCTGTATATATTTCTGAATTTACAGTTATGATTTTATAAATGCAGTTGGTGCTTTCAAACTCAAGAGAAGAACGGAGAAATCTGTATCTGGTTCTTTTTGATTATTTATTGCATAAGATAAATGAGACATGTATAGCTTCTGGAGTGTCCGAGTACAGTGATGATGAGGTTCAACCTATTGCTACCTTACTCATGCTTGCAGATGCACCTGAAGCTCTGCATTTATCTGTCAAGTTAGGAGTTGAAGGCATGGTGGAGCTATTGAAAAGATCAATCTCTACAGCATTGTCCAGATATCCTAATAATGATCGGCTTATTACAGTAATGTTCCATGCCTTTAACATTTTCATCTGCATGAACTAGAGCTTAATATTTCTTTTTAGCTTGTGAGAAAAGACTAGGGAATATATCCAAAATTGTTAATTGATTTCATATATCCACACAGTACTCAACAGTTGTTGTATGCATTTTTGTTCTAGTCTCAATGTCTTCATGATATTTGGTGTTTTTTCAGACAGGGACTGTAATGCCTGTGGCCTGTTCACTCAGAATTTCCCCATGCATTTACTATGGGAAATAGGGGTAGAAGGCTGTAAAAGAAAAATATAGAATAACTTCAATTTAAAATCTGTACCTTGAAATGGCGAGTAGAATCGGTTGGTTTGAGGACATGGAACTTGAATGAAAGTAATCTTGCACTTACTCAACATATTTGCTTGCTTGTGATCTACATGTCTTCTTCCCTCTAACTGTGGCCACATATAGCCTTATAAATAGCCATGACATTTAATGTTGATGTGTAAAGTCTGAATATAACCTTGTTCTGCATTTCAAGTTGATTGTATTTACCTTTGCTGTGTCATCTTTATAAGTGGACTTCAGGCAATTGCATGTCTATGCATCTAAACTTGTGGAAGTCTTACTTTGTTCCTATCTATCTTCTGATTCTTTAAACCTAAGGAATGGCATTTATCGTTAAGTTGTACGCCATTATTTTCTTTCTAATAATTTGTTTCGAAGGTGGATTTGTTTGGTTTGACTTTTTCTGGCCCTTCTCCTCATGGGAACATGCATGTACCTGTTTGTGTGTATATGCATCCAAAAGACGAATTACATGACCTTTAATTGTATTCGAATTCTGTTTTCTCTTGCAGCTTTTGCAGAGTATGGTAGAGAAGTTTGATATGCTCATGAGATCATTTACTTGTCTAGACACAGAATTTACCCAAATGGTTCAAATGACCAAATCATTCAAGTCTTTAGAAAGCATTGATGAAGTTCACATAAACAGTGTTGGCATTAAAGCAAAGCTCTCTTGGGCTACTTTACATTCTCTTCTTCATTCTGAACGATCTGCTTATCGGCACAATGGTTATCTCTGGTTAGTAGATTTGCTCATTGCAGAAATAAGTGATGAAGGGGACGAGAGCCTGTGGTTGAGCATACAAACCTTGGAGCAAAAAATAAAAATTGCTGGTGTTAATGATTATTCAGCTTCTTTAGGTGTTCCTTTACCCATTTGGCTTATGTGTGGGCTTCTAAAGTCAAGAAACAATCTTGTCAGATGGGGTTTTCTACTTGTTCTAGAGAGGCTGCTCATGCGATGCAAATTTCTGTTAGATGAGAGTGAAGTTCAACATGTTATCAGAAGTGAAGCTTCAGGCCACATGCACGCCAAGAATCGTCTTGAAAAAGCAAATGCTGTGATAAACATTATGAGTAATGCCTTATCCTTGATGGCCCAAAGAAACGAGACTGATCGTATGAATATTTTGAAGGTAATGTTACCTGAATCATCTCAAACCTGTTGTGACAGTCTGTAACTGTTTCAAAGTTACCGTTCTTTTCACAGCTAGAACTTCCATTTGGATGCTATCTATTTTGGCCTAATGATGCATTTACATTATTGGATTGGCATAACACTGAAGCAGATAAAGGTCGCATTTATGATTTATCAGTATCTGCTGTCCATATTCTCTGCATTGACCATTTTGATATTCAAAACATATTATAAATACCTCTTTTCCTGAAAAGTATAATAATAAAATTTTTTTAGTTGTATATTGATGATTGCCCAACTATTTTTGTAGTGGTGGCAGCCTTTTCCCCCTGTTGTCATGTTAAATGGCTGAACAGTCTTTGGTTGGGTGGATGGTTGCACCGAACTGTTAAAATACCCTTCTTAGTGGCACATCTTTCCAATTGCTAACTTGAGCTTTGATTTTGTGCATTAGTTGTTGTAGTCTGAATTTTCCATGTTCTCATCAAAACTTTGGAAAGCAAAATGACAATCAGTAAAACTCGGGGTCCCCTTCCCAGTACTCTTCAGAGGAACAAAAAGGTGAAAAAAGGGCAGTTGCGAGCCAATATATGGTTTTCATTTATTTGCTTGATTCTCTTATATGCTGACATTTGATTTTATGTTTGCGCACGCTGCATGCATGTCTGAATCATATTTTTCTCCTTTATAAACTTACATAATTATCTTTCTTGATGTCTTTGAGCAGATGTGTGATATTCTATTTTCACAATTGTGCTTGAAAGTAGTCCCTACAACCGCGATGCTGTTCGGAGACACACAGATTCATGATTCTAGTAGCTCAGAGCGGAATAAAGCAGGGGCGGAATCTCTCTCTCAAAAAGAGAATCTTGGCCGGGAAGAATCCATGGGGGATTCTGACAGCAAGATTGGCAAAAGTTTTAATCCTAAAATCTGTGGTACTGCATCGATGGCAGCACTGCTGCTTAATGGACAAGCAATTGTACCAATGCAATTAGTTGCACGCATTCCTGCTGCTTTATTTTACTGGCCTCTCATCCAACTTGCTGGAGCTGCAACAGACAATATTGCATTGGGTGTCTCTGTTGGTAGCAAAGGAAGAGGGAATATACCAGGTGCCACGTCAGATATACGGGCTACCCTTCTCTTACTTCTAATTGGTAAATGTACAGCAGACCCTGCTGCTTTTTCAGATGTTGGTGGTGAACAGTTCTTCAGGTAACTTTGTAGTTATAACTTTACTCTTGTATGTGGAAGTCACATTCCTTTTTATATATGTTTATGAAGGAGTTTTACATCAATGGATATTCGGCAGGGAGTTGTTGGATGATACAGACGCAAGAGTGGCATACTACTCTTCTACCTTTCTTTTGAAGGCAAGTGTTTGTCGTCTTTTGCTTACCTTGAGGTCTGAAATGTTCAAGCTATTGCATTGAATTGATTTGAAATTTAAATTTGGCAGAGAATGATGACAGAGGAACCAGAAAATTACCAACGGATGCTTCATAGTCTTGTTTCAAGAGCTCAGCAGGTGCATTCTTATTTGATATTTCATCTGAAGAATACGTGGCATTTCTTGAAAACTATTGTTACTTAGGAACATAGTTTAAAGAGGCGTGATTGGAGCCCGCCTCAGTCTGAGGCTTGAATATTTAAGGGGGAGAATGAGGTTTATGCCTTTAGTGGTTGAGGAGGTGCAAGCCTCAAAAGTGAGGCGTGCGACTCTCCTTAAATATCTTGGGAACTAATTTTTTTTAAAGTTCTCGTCTTACATTGGTTGACTTCATTCGAAATCCAATATATATTAAAATGGCATTGGGAATCTACCAAAATTTTAATAAAATCTTACCAAAGTTCATTGAATATCTGCTACAAATTATCTTTTGGAATCCATTATATTTCAAAACCTAATTAATTTCTTTTATTATATATTACGCGTCATAAATAAAAATACGTTACAAGTTCAAACACACAGAACAAGTAAAACAACACTACAACCCTAGAATTGCATCATTGTGATGACTGCTCATTCGGCGGAGGAGACATCACTCCGGCGGAGACTTGATTGCATTGGTACTTTAAATTGTTCTATTAGAATTTGAATAGTATATGTTTATTTTTGTAATTTTGTACTTTTTTTGCTAATTTTTTGTGCACAAGTTTTGTGCCTCAAGGCTTACGTCTCACTTCACGAAGGAACAATGCCTCTGTAAGCACTGCCTAGGAAGTGCCAACACTGACATGGACACACCTACATACAACTTTTCAAAAAGCATAGACAATGCGTCCCCCACATGACAACTAAAATAATATTTTTATTTTATTTTCATATTGTGAAGTAAATTTATATTTGTGAATTCTGGTGTGTCGACCATATATCTTTTAGCCTGTTAATGTATCAGTGACATGTCCATCTCTACAAAGTAAAAATATAATTTGAATTCACCACCTGGCATCATTGGCATGTGTTGGCGATGTGTCAATGTCCCACACGATTTATCTACCTGCTTGTGTGTCGGTGAAATCTCTAATTCAACAAAAAAAAAAAAAATTTGAAACATGCCGCCTGACATCATTGACCTATGTTGGTGACATGTATATCCTAGCGTGTTGGCAACATGTCCAACTATACAAAACCAAAAGCAATTTGCATTTAGGTGACACACGATTATCTCCCAGATTATCAGCAATGTGTCATAACATTGTCCAACTACACAACAAAATAATAAATTGGAGATAGCACATGGTGTTTGAGATAAGCGTTAGTATCATGATGCTACTCAGCAGCACCAGGAGGGTTGTTGGTGCTTCCTTGATTGTTACTTAATTGTGTGTAGGAACACCGTTTGTGAAGGCCAGTACTAGGTAGCAGTATCCTATAAATAGCCGCCAGAGAGTAAACAAAATGAACAGTAGAATATTCAGAATGGAAAACTCAAAAGTTTATGCTTCATCATTTGTCCTCTGACTTGGTGACCTAGCTGAGTTGAAAATGAGGTAGATTATATTGATCACATTAAGGATTTTGCATTTTCTGTTGCCACTGCATCAAATCTACCATTTTTGCAACTTGACTGTGCCAAGATTATCAGATTTCTGATGACCTTATATAGAACTCGTCCAGCAACGAGTGATTGCATTAGCTTCCCGATGTAAGTTTTCTAAGTCACTCAGTTATGCCAGGTTATTTTAATTTGTGAACCTGATATCTTAAGCAACAGTCATAACGCACTCCTTTCTTGCTTCATTTTCTTCACTCTACTTCGAATCCTTGAATGCACAAGCATTGTTGTCTACAGTTGATGGAGCATTATCTTTAAAATAAAATATCTGAATGAGAAAACTGATTGTTTTACTGACCTGTACGAAAGTTGGGAGCAGCATAAACTGGACAGGCGGTGATGTTGGCTCTTTTTTTTTTTTTTTTTTTTTTTTTTTTTTTTTGACTATTTTGTCAGTTTCTTGAAAGTGAAAATGTAACCAACTGTAATATCACCTTTTAGTCAAGAATCCATACTCAGGAAAAGCAATGAACAAGATAGGTTTTCGTTCTATTGTTTATTAAACTATTTTATCACTCTTTTGATCTATCAACTTACTTCATTTGTTTATGGTAAGGAGACCATATTGATCGTTCCTCTCTATAGCATGTGTAGTAACATTGAACCATTTCATTTTATGATTGTCAAGAATTCAAACAAATGCTTAAGGTTTATGAATCTCTTTACAGAGTAACAATGAAAAGCTGTTGGAGAATCCCTACCTTCAGATGCGTGGCTTACTTCAGCTGTCAAATGAATAATTTGGAAGCTCTGAGTTGTGCTTGATTTGTTTGGTTTCATTTGGAGAAATTTATTGCTCCGTGCTCCTGATGATCAATGTATTCTGGTGGGGCAATCCCTGGTTAGATTGTGAATTAGTGAGATACAAGATGCTTAAAGAGGCTTCAATTCACAACTTATTCCATGCAGCCAAATTGAAATCAACAGAACAAGGTGCTTATACATTAAACTTGGCCACATACTGTCTGCCGTTGTATATTCTTCAAGAGCCTCCGTTATGCTGCAGTTGGGATCACATTAAGAGAGTTCCATCTATTGGTTGAAATGATAAAAAATCACTTATACATATGAAAAATAAAGCTTTGCATTCGTTTGAAGTTTATGAATTGGCACTTTTGTGCGTACAGTTGCCAAAGCACAAACATCCAGGTACTTCTGTTCAAATATGCTCTTTCTATTAAATTCCCATATTTTCAAAATGTTGGATGTGACGAAAAGCCTTTCCAATTATGAATTTTCTTGTTCATTACCGTTTA